CTGGACCTGGGTTGCCTACCCAGTATATCCAACTTCAGAGTGGGGACGTGAGGCCGGGTTTTAGTAAGTCATGGCAATGTCTCTTCTGTACTTTCCTTAAAATGAATTTAAACACCTAAAGATACTGTCTGAGAAAGACCTACTTCCTCAAGGAAAAAACAATACCCCTTTCTTACCTCGATAATGTACAGGACCACATTCTTGTAGAAGCAGTACAATATGCACTTGGTGACACGGTTGTAGCTCCAGGCTCCATGAACCAACAGAAGCTTCTCCAAGTAGGAAAACTGAAATAGGGAAATAAAGTTCAGGGAAGTCTGTCATTGAGGACCACAAGTCACAGAATATCCTCATGAACAGAAGATAGATAAAGTAGGTAGGGGAAGCCTGTATCTGCAGGTAACCCAAGAAAACCATCCCCCAAAGGTGGAGCTTTCAGGCAACAGAAATCTTCTCCTAAACTGACATAATTATCAGTTTCCCTAGATATGCTGCTGGCCTTGCGATTGCTAGTTTCACAAAATTATATTAGGTTGTCGGAAAAGTCATGACGTATTTTTTTTGTATGTAAACAACTGAATATTTAAGTTAATACTTGCTGCAGGCCCTAATTATTAACAGGACCACCTGAACTGGAAGAACAGTGCATTGGAAATCAGATGTCTGCATACAAGCATACCTTTTAGGGTGACAATAAGAACTAGGGACAGGGACACTCATGCAACAATTTCTTGGGTTTTATCTTTTTCTTTCTTTCTTGTTTTTAGAGAGATTTTTTGCTATGGGGGCAAGTGCTCACCAGAGAGACAGAGAGAGAAAGCAAGAAATTACCCCTGCAGGGGATAGCTAAGCTGCAATCCCTATTCTTCCATACTCCTCTTGGGATTTTGGGCATGCATGCACGTGCTTCCGGTGTGAGTTTCAAGCTTCTAGGTCTGGGACTCAAACTGCAGTCGGCTACGTGAGAGTCCAGCAATGTAACCATTCCGCCATCTGCTGGTTCCAAAAATTTGTTTTTAAAAGGTACATACATGTACATGCACATTGTTTCCACATTCAGCCTGAAGATTAAAAATAATCTCCCAGGTCAGCTCAGTAGCGTGATAGTTAAAACAGCTGGATTCCACTGCACAGCTTGAGCCCAGGACCTGGAGGCACATATGATGCGTGCCCAAAATCCCAAGAGGAAAATGGAGAGGGGATTGCAGCATGGCCATCACCCCTAGGGGAATGCTTTTTCACTCTCCTGATTCCGTCTCTCCCCAGTAAAAATGCACAAGTCCTACAGCCAAAAAAAAAAAAAAAAAAAAATCACACACACATCCACAAAAGTATATAGAAATACAAATATACACAGACACACAGGCACAGACTTGGAGACAGGCAGACATACGCCAAGATGAAGATTCACAGAGACACATGCAGGCACACATGGGCACACAGATAAACACGCACAGACATATAGAGGTACATTGACACAGATACAGTAAGACACACAGATACACACACAGACGCACAGGTATATGAGAATACAACTATACACAGACACACACGCACAGACATGGAGACACGCAGACATACACCAAGATAAAGATACACAGACACACACTTCGGTATGCATAGACACACATATAAACACACAGGCACACAGAGGAATACACACAGACATACAGAGCTACATTAACACAGATACACATAAAGGCATATGGAAATAGAGACACACACAGATGAAGCACACAGACACCCGCATACACACAGATACACAAACACACACACACACGCACACAGACACAAAGACTTACAAGAACAGACACAAAGATGCATGCACAGACACACAGACACACATACTGCCTTTACCTTCAAACCCATCTTGCTCTTTTTCTTTTCCCCCACTAGGACTGAGCACCTCTTGCCACAGTGCTCTGCAGTAGAGCAGCTAACTGAGACTAAATGAGGGTGGCACAATGACCCTCGCAGCTCAAGAGAGGAACCAGCAATATTCCAGCAAAATGCACAAATCCCCTATAAGGCAGAGGCTTTGGACACCACTCAGATCCTGTCTCCTCTGTCTCCCCTTAGCCCAGCTTTGCCTCGTGGGTTCTACTTCACAAAGGTCCCCCAAAAGTGAACCTTGAGCTGGAAGGAAGGAAACACGCTGTTTTATTTCAGTAGATTCTACATGAATGCACTGTTGGGGCAATCCTGTCTAAATTCACAGTTTCTGTGCATTCAATTTGCCTCCTATTGGGTGGCGTTCCCCTTGGTTGCCTGAACAAAAACCATAATTGCCTTGCTGGAAATCATAGTGTCAGAGGGTCTCTACTCCTACCCTTGGCTCGTCAGTGAGCTTTAACCCCATTACGCTACTAGAACAGACTCTGACTGTACTGAGAATGCTCCAGAATAGTAGAAAATATTTTACTTTTGTAATTAATATTAATTCCAGATGACTTTTGACATTAAATTTAACTATGTGCAGAAAAGAAAAACTGACTGAAAAGATCTCTTTTTAAAGATGCTTCTTTTGAAGAGGAAATGACATATTCCCATTAGCACTAGAGAAAGGGGCCATCTCGTATGTGAGGTCCCACGTCAATGAGTTCTTCCAGCAGATCAGGAGAAGGCACGGCCTTCCGTCCAAATATGAGGGGACTTCCAAAACTTCATGGAAAGATGGAAGTCAAGTACAAGTCTCTTTTGGTGCAGAAAGTTTGAAATCCATGCCTAGTTTTTTTTTTTTTTTCCATAATACACATTTTCCTTAACTTTTTGAAGACCCTTTGTACTCCAAATTCTAGACATCACTTCAAATGGCAGAAGTCAGTGCATATGGAAAAATAAAACTCTCCATATAGGCTCATTAAGGATTCCAAAGGGGAATGGGGGAATCATAAAATAACTAGCTCAGCAAATAAAAAGGAAGTTTGCATTTGACCTGGACCCCCCGGTGTTAAACTTCAATGGGCATAGAGCACATCTGCTTCAGTCATCCTGAAGGCCTTGACTTGAGTGCAACAATGATTTGTTTTTGGGGAAAAAAATTACACACACACACACACACACACACACACACACACACATAAAATCTCCTAAATCAAAATGCTGTCTTCATGAAGTCGTTCAAAACACATCAAGAAGGTAGGGGGCAGGCATGATTCTCCCCCGAGGATAACAGGAAGCCGAGGGCTACACGCATGATGCTATGCGTCCCACAGCAAGGACGGTCCAGGGCAAGGCAGCAACATGGGCAGCTGTGGGGCCCGGGGCTGCCCCTGTGCATGGAGGTACCAGGCAGGCAGGAAGAAATGGAGTCGGAGCGTTGCCCACTGCATAGTATCCATCACTGAGGCCAGGATCCTCTTTCTTCTGTATGTAGCCCTACGGGGTACTTCCTCAAAACCGCAGTCACATTAAAATGAGCAGATAAAGCATGAGGTGTTAACTTTAACCAGAGCCACAAATCATTTTGATAAAGGCAAAGGAATCCGTGGAAGTGTGGCATTTCCAGTTTTAGTAATTCAGGAAGAGGCCGCCTGCTGCTGGATGGAGAGGCGTGAGCCTAGGACAGGGACAGTGCCGAAACGGCAGCATCCCTGCAATCGTGAACAGGACCATGGACAGGAGAAACAAGAGCCCGCAGGTGCATGTGCCACTCCTCTGGCAGAAGCGAGTGTTAGACTGAAGGGAAAGAAACCCCCCAAATGGAGTTATAAAGACCTGCTCCTCGCTCCACCTTTTTTGATACGTTTAACGTGAAGAGAGCAGTTCCTCTGGATTCCAAGTCCAATTAGTATGCAGTTTCAATAAAGCAGGTTATAGAATCTCCCTTCCCTAGACATTTTTAAATAAAAGACAGACAAATATTTGCCTGGAACTCCTAGGAAACCTCTTAAGATCCCTTCCAGCCATATGATGTTATAACTCAAGTATTTAATAATGCTGGGGTGTATAACATCTACAGTTGCTGACAGACTGCAGGAAGCGTGAGTCCCACAGGTCTCGGAGCAGTCGACTCAGGAAAGTGAATGGGCAGGTGTGTGGAGCTGGCCCCCAAGTTCACACAGGGGTCTGTTGTTCTCTGACCGGGAATGATCACTCGGACCAGACGTGGGTCACCTGATGCGAAGGTACCCTGGTTTTCCTACGTATGAAATCAGAATTCATTCTCCTACCTACTTCAGGAACTAGCTTGAGGATTTATCTGAAACCAACCAGGGAATAAGACTGATCTCTTGCACTCTGCAGAGCCATGAGGATTTTGTAATTCCTCCCTGCATTTTCAGAACCCAAGCTGGGAGGGAACCTGAGAGGTGATGTAATGCAGGACCCTCCATCTTTGGGGAGGTGAGGCCCAATGCTGCAGAGGGCCAGGCTCCAGCCCTGGAGCGCCGTTCACCTTTTACGTGCAGCCCCATTTCAGCTTAAAGAGCAACAAAGCCATGACTCTGAGTTTATGTGATTCTCACATTCTTCAGAAGCTGAAACTCCATAGAAATACAAGGGGGCTGGTTAAGCAGCTAACCAGTGATCTGTGTTCTCCGTTATGTCTAGGTTTTCTGGGTGATCTTGCAGGCCAAAGGATGCACCTTTGCACCCAAGGGGTCAGGATGTGGCTATTTTCCCTTCCACTTTCAGCTGTCATGAAGGAGTAGATAGTTCTTTCATCCTCAGGCCACCAGTGTGACAACCACCAAGTGCATCAGGAGCCTTTGCATAGATGTCTGGTTCAGTGAGGAATGGCTTGAACTTGGCCTAGCTGCAGGAGGCAGTTTGCTACTGACCACAGGGTCATTCAGGCCCAGGCTCTCAGCAATTCATCTCATAGCAGTGGTCCCGGGCAGTGCCCTGTTCTGACACACAGAGGGTGACAGCTACAAATCACTGTTTTCCCCTGACCTTGAACAGCTGACCAGGGAGTGTCATGGCACTGGTTCCATCTGAAAAAGGGGCGATGCCAAGAAGGGACTGTAGAAAATGGATGTTAAGAGTTTAACTGTTCTCCAACAGAGGATGCATCAGGAAAAGTACATGCAGTAGTTGCAGAGTTGGGAGTTAACGATTATGACTAACAGGCTGAGGGACCTATCGGCCAGGGGGGCACTCTATCTGAATGGCAGAGCAACTCAGCCAACTCCCACACTGGCTGAAAGAAACCCAGTGGCAAGACAGGGCCTCCAAACTGCATCAGACCCAACTGCTGAGAAACCTGAAGCCACTGATGGTTTCAACTAGACTGCAACGTCAGAAGGGGTGGCGGAGTTTTCAAGGAAGGTCAAGAGCCAGGCTCTCACGGCCAGCTGCCATCTCCAACAATAGGACGGGACAGCTGGTCACCACGTCACTGACCTGTGCAATGGCATAATCCGAGTTGTTGGTGGCCTGCATGCCCTCGTTACCACTGATTCCCACCCCAACGTGGGCCGTCTGGATCATCCCCACATCATTGGCACCGTCTCCAATGGCGAGGGTGATGGCCTTCACCCGCTTCTTCACCACGTCCACTATCTCAGACTTCTGCAGAGGGGACACTCTGTGACAGAAGAAAGAGAAATTATGATTGGATGCATCTTTCCAGAGGAAACAGCTGTAATCTACATTCCGCTGCAGTAAAAGGGCAGCTATTGGCTCGTCTCCAAATTCAATTACATACGTTTTATGTTCATGTGCAAAGAAGCTTTTAGAAAACAGTAGCATGTGGCTTTCAAGTATTCGCCAACTTCACAGATGAAATGCACAGCTCAGGCTAATGGAAAGCACAGCCTATCTGTAATCACCCTGCTCAGTAGGAACTCTACGAGCAAACTCTTCAGAGGCACATGTGCCCTGCAGAATGACAAAGGCAGCTAAACTAGTTACCCAGGTCTTTGGAAATATCTTCCCAATAAATCAGAAAACTAGCGCAGACCCGTTTTTGCTTTGCTGTACACCATATCCAACTTAGGGCTGACAAGGGAATTTTCCATAAAATCTGCTTCAACAGAAGGAAACAAAAACTGGCAGGGCATGAGAAAGCACAGAAAAAAGGCTCGAAAGAGAGGAAGGGAGAGATACTTCTTCATCTCTAACCCAGAGAAGGAGACAGCGTCTGAAGGCAACCATGACAATAGGGCTTAGGGACAGAGTCACTCAGAGGTCTACAGTAGCTGGACTTCCCAGAAGCACAACCCAACATGGGCTAGAGGAGCAGTCTCCGACTAAGAGGTGTTGTTTCTACTTACCTACCTAGGAGCCAGCAGGTGGCGTAGTGATTAAGGCACTAGACTCTCACATGGTCAATCATGGTCTGAGCCCCAGACCTGACAGCTTGAAACTCAAGCAGGGCACATGTGTGTGCGTGCCCAAAATACTGAGAGAGGAAAGGAGGAGAAGGGATTGTGGCATGGTCATCCCCTATGGGGAGTGATTTCTCGCTTTCTCTCTCTCTGTCTCTCTCTATCTCTCCAACAAGCACACATGCCCTATAGCAAAAATCTCTCAAAGGAAAAAAAAAAAAACAAAACTCCCAAATCTATCTATCTCTTCTCTCTTTCTCATTAAAAACAAAAGCAAAAATAGTTACTATAAACAACAAGATGAAAAAAAAAAAAAACTACCTAGACTCTCAAGGCTAATTTATTAAATTCTGAATTGGTAAGCTGATATTTCATTTAGGAACTTTTCAGGCAAACTCTTGAATCACTTACACATACAGTAAACACAATGAAAGGGACTTTTCTAGACTTTTCTCCAGAGATAGACTGACTGTACCCACACACAGACTGCACTTGTAAACTGGAGAGATGACAAAGGCATCCAGTATGACCTCTCCAAGGGTCTCCACACACAAAGATACCATCAATTTAATTTCACCAACTCTGGGAAGAAATGTATTTGGTGAGACAAGAGAATGAAGGTACAGCTATTTCTCAGTAACAAAGATAGAAAGATGAGAACGAAAAACAGAATCTTAGTGTTGAAAGGGCTTTAGCAGCCATATTATACAACCCATTACCACTTCCATCATTTTGGCAAGAGTTTGTGATGGTGAGATTTGATGCCTTCTGGACGAGATGCAAACACTCAAAATTATGATCGCTTTTTGTTGTGACTGAGCATACTTAAAATGACTAATTGGGACCTTTGGACTAGATCAGAAAAAGTAGAACTCCTCGCTCAAATATTTGGAAGGCTGAAACAGAAAGACATCCATCACATCCTTCCTCCTGAAGTTTAGTTTCTGCCAGCTAACCAGGTTCTTCAATCGTTATTAATAGACATGCTTCAGCACTTAAAAATAGCCTCCCAGTCTGATCTTCTAGGCAGCTGAAATCAGACTTGAGCAGAACAGAATCACCCTCTCTCTGGTAGAAAATGCTAGACTTGGGAACCAGCAGTTGGCGTAATGGCTGTCGCTGGACTCCCACATAGTCGACCGCGGTTCGCATCCCGGACCTGGTGACTTAGAACTCATGCTGGGCGTGTGTGCATGCATGCCCAAGATCCTGAGAGGATAATGGAGGAGAAGGGATGGCGGCGTGGCCATCCCCCTTGGGGGGTGATTTCTCGCTTTCTGTCTCTATGTCTCTCTCTAGGCACTAGACTCTCACATGGTCAATCATGGTCTGAGCCCCAGACCTGACAGCTTGAAACTCAAGCAGGGCACATGTGTGTGCGTGCCCAAAATACTGAGAGAGGAAAGGAGGAGAAGGGATTGTGGCATGGTCATCCCCTATGGGGAGTGATTTCTCGCTTTCTCTCTCTCTGTCTCTCTCTATCTCTCCAACAAGCACACATGCCCTATAGCAAAAATTTCTCAAAGGAAAAAAAAAAAAACAAAACTCCCAAATCTATCTATCTCTTCTCTCTTTCTCATTAAAAACAAAAGCAAAAATAGTTACTATAAACAACAAGATGAAAAAAAAAAAAAACTACCTAGACTCTCAAGGCTAATTTATTAAATTCTGAATTGGTAAGCTGATATTTCATTTAGGAACTTTTCAGGCAAACTCTTGAATCACTTACACATACAGTAAACACAATGAAAGGGACTTTTCTAGACTTTTCTCCAGAGATAGACTGACTGTACCCACACACAGACTGCACTTGTAAACTGGAGAGATGACAAAGGCATCCAGTATGACCTCTCCAAGGGTCTCCACACACAAAGATACCATCAATTTAATTTCACCAACTCTGGGAAGAAATGTATTTGGTGAGACAAGAGAATGAAGGTACAGCTATTTCTCAGTAACAAAGATAGAAAGATGAGAACGAAAAACAGAATCTTAGTGTTGAAAGGGCTTTAGCAGCCATATTATACAACCCATTACCACTTCCATCATTTTGGCAAGAGTTTGTGATGGTGAGATTTGATGCCTTCTGGACGAGATGCAAACACTCAAAATTATGATCGCTTTTTGTTGTGACTGAGCATACTTAAAATGACTAATTGGGACCTTTGGACTAGATCAGAAAAAGTAGAACTCCTCGCTCAAATATTTGGAAGGCTGAAACAGAAAGACATCCATCACATCCTTCCTCCTGAAGTTTAGTTTCTGCCAGCTAACCAGGTTCTTCAATCGTTATTAATAGACATGCTTCAGCACTTAAAAATAGCCTCCCAGTCTGATCTTCTAGGCAGCTGAAATCAGACTTGAGCAGAACAGAATCACCCTCTCTCTGGTAGAAAATGCTAGACTTGGGAACCAGCAGTTGGCGTAATGGCTGTCGCTGGACTCCCACATAGTCGACCGCGGTTCGCATCCCGGACCTGGTGACTTAGAACTCATGCTGGGCGTGTGTGCATGCATGCCCAAGATCCTGAGAGGATAATGGAGGAGAAGGGATGGCGGCGTGGCCATCCCCCTTGGGGGGAGATTTCTCGCTTTCTGTCTCTATGTCTCTCTCTCTGTCTGTCTGGCGAGCACACGCGCCCTATAGCGAAAACCTCTCCAAAAAAAGAAAATGCTAGACTTACTATTCTTTTTTTTTTTCCTCCCAGATTTTTTGCCATAGGGTGTGTGGGCTTACCAGAGAGACAGAGAGAGGGAAAAGCGAGAAATCATCCCTCTAGGAAATGGCCATGCCACAATCCCTTCTCTATTCTTCCCTTGAGATTTTGGGCATGTACACTCACACATGCCCAGCATGTTTTACAAGCTGCCAGATCCAGGCCTGGAACTTTAGAGCTGTCTGTGTTATATCCAGTGCCTTAACCACCATACCACCTGCTAGCCCAAGACTCACCTTAATGCAGCTTAAAACAAAGTTACTGGAGGCTTAAATATTATCATTGAGCTCCTAGTCAATGTACCATAAGTAATTTTAACATTCAGTGATGTATAGTGATATTAAGCTATAAATATTTCCCCAAGTTGTACAACTGCTACTTGGAACTAAGCTTTTTATTTATTTATTTATTTATTTGGCAGAGATAGCCCATAATTCTAATTTGCTACATAAAGATGATTATCCATTTTCATTTTTCTCCCTTCTCAAATTCAGTAGGGAGAAAAACCTGACATTCAGAGTTAAATAACTAAGCCTGGCCTTTCCTGTGCACCATTCTAATCATTTAAGAAGGGGAAAAAAAATCTATGAGTCCCTGTCTTTTCATTAATAGGCTAGGGGAAGTGAGACCCACTTACCTCATGAGACAGCTGCGATATATTAATGTGAAACCATAATGTTAACTAGAAAATGTGGTAATTCCCACTCTACCCAAAATAGGGTTATCTGCAAAATCTCAGTTGTTGGCAAAAAGAACTGGACACATCTGAAAATTGCATGCCATCTGACTGATGGTTCCCAAATTGTGTGAGTAGGAGTCCTGCAGCCGGAAATGTTAAATTTTCAGGGGAAATATATATAGCAACCTCTCTTAGGAAAGAG